GCTGCCCCACAGTCACCCCACTGCCCCACACAGGCGAGCGTCCCCCGGCCTCGACGCAGGTTTACCTCAGGGTCCGCGCCCCACGCCCCTCCTGAGGGGAGCTGCCGCCATGCCCCCGCAGCGCACCACTCGCCGGGGCAGGGGCCGAGCCACCACCGCTCCGAGCTTTCTGCAGCCAAGAAGCACCCAAACGTTGGCGCAGGCCCCGTCCTAGCGCTGCTGGAGACGCTTACGCCCAACACCGGGGACCCAGAGACCAGCGTGGGGCAGCAGCTGCCCCAGAACAGCTCCCAGACTGGCCAAACCCCGTGGTTTCCCCAGGACATCTCAGCCTTCCCTCCTTGACCATTCGAGCAAGTCAGGCCCCAAGTCTCCTCCTGAGAGGGAACGGTCTCCCAGCAAGGGCCACCCAGGTCCAAGTTACAGACCGATGACTGCTACTTGGGGAGCCCACACGCTGGCAGATCTCCTGGCCATCTTCTCTCCACCAGACCATTTAACACCCACACGGTCCCCTCTCCCCACCCAGGGCACCAGCCACAGGGCAGGACCACGCTGAGGCCACCAGCCCAGCACCAGACAGACCCCACCACCCAGCTCACCACCCCCAGCCTCACCCAGCCTCCCACCATTCCCATTTTACTGGGAAAACTGGCTCACTCGCTGCCCACCCCAGGCCACCCAGCTCCCTGCAGGGCACGCTGGGTCCCAGCAACCCACAGCACCATTTCATGCATCCAACATCTCCTGTTTCTGCTGGGGAAGGATGCAGGGCAGGGACAACCTCCCCCCCATCATGCACCCACAGCAGAAGCCCACACTTGTCTCTTTGATCTTGATTTGATTATATGTTAAATTCCAGTTTAATTAGACTTGGTAGGTCAAAAGAAAGGGGGAAAAGTTCTACACAATTAACCCAAACCTCAGTAATAAGATGGTAAGGGAACACAAGCACCTTATTCTCCAGATCAGAGGATTTTAATAATAATGGTAAAAATCAATATGAAACTAGATTAGATCTTCTGTTCATATTCATCAGGTAATTTGATAGAGCATCTGCAAACTCAGGTCTCTATTTCTGTGGTGAAAAGTAAATACAAACATCTTACTTTCCAGATCAAAGTTTTAATAGAAACAATCAAGAGCAAATGCAATCAAAAATACCTTTCACATCAGCCAAATTCCAATTAAATTAGGCCAGATTATTCAATAAGGAAGCCTATAAAATCAAGGTCTTTATTGATGTAACAGTATAGAAATACAAACATGCTGCTTTCCCGATCACAATTTTTCCCCTGCATTGAAATGCTAAGTCTTAAGTAAAACTGATTTCATTTGAATTACAGTGGAAGTGAATATTTTAATTTCCTTATTTCCCTCCCTCCCCCCACCCCCCCCCCCCCCCAGTTCTTACTTGTTACACTTCCCAACAATCTTCTACATTGTTCTCTTTCCTGGATATGACTCTTCAAATAGTCCATAATTTTATCGTAAAAAAGACTTAATAGCAGTAACAAGACAAGTTTGGCAAGGAAAGGAACTGCAATAGAAAATCCTGGTGATGAACACTCATCTTACCACAGAAGAAATAATTTCCTCTTATACTGGACAGCTGTTGACAGACCTGGGAAATATTTGGTATCCTTTAACTCTCCAGACAAATAACTGGCTTTTTATCAGGAAGAAAATTCAGGGGTTACAACAAGGGCTCTGGATAGATGGTTATGTCAAGATAGATGGGCATGCCAGAACACTGCAAATCCTCAATACACAACCAACTTATCTACAGCTAAAGGTAGCAGCATACAAGTTAGTTTAATAAAGAAGCCGGAAAAGGCAGAGATCCTGTCATTTTATTTTACAGAAAGATTTGTCACACCCACATTTTCAATGGATCACTGGATTAACATTTAAGCTATTTAATCCAGTTCCTCTGCCTACATATTGATCCCCCCAGGCTATCTCAGCACATAGTACCCCATACTGCAGATTTTGTTCTTTTCATAAGACTTTTGCCTACACCAGAGAATTTCAACTACACATTCCGAGCTGCACAACACAGTTGCGGTTCTGGAGAGCTGCAGAGGCCCAACCAGAGGTGCAAGAGGGACACTCCAGGAAACTAGGACACCTGCAGACCAGGCAGGGTTTTCAGAGGTCACACTGGCACTGTAAGTGCTATTGGAGGTCCCTACGTTGTCTGGGATCTAGATCCAAGCTTCCAAAAAATCCCCAAAGGCTCCATAAATTCAAAGTATCCTCATTATTATGCATTTGTCTATTATTGTCCTTTTGCATTTCTACTGTGTCAGGTGAAATTATACATGAACAGAAGACCCTTGAAGCCTTTGAGAGGATAATTCAGCATGAAAATCCCTAGGGTGATGTGAGGGGGAAGGAAATTTCAACAGCTTTTCCCCCCCCCCCCACTCTCTGCTGCTAAGTGACTCAAGGAGGTTAATGTGCTGATTTCCCCCTCTCCACAACAGGAAGAGGTGAAGGTAAAAAGCTTGCAGGAAATGCACACCAGCAGAAGGTCATTTGGTCTGCAAAACACTGACCACAACAAGCTGCAAAGGGATCATGTATAAGCTCCAAGCTGCAATGCTCTGAAGGTTTTCCTGCACTGGAGTGGGAACAGACACAGTGAAGTTGTGTGGTTGCAATCAAATTATCCCTTAAAAGAAATAACAATAAATTCTGAACTTCCCAATTACAGGGGACAGGCAAACCTTGAAAACCATTAAAAGCTGCTTCTTCTGTTGATGAATTATCCAGAGTGCACAGAGCTATTTGCTGAACTTCACTGTATTACACTAATTATAAATTAATATATTGCTCATTACACACTAAAGCTGTGCAGTCAACTAATGCGCTGCTGTGAAGAGCCTATTTTAAAACATCCTCTGGTATTTTTATGATCTGGATGTTTAATTTACTTCTGTACTGGTTTAAATGCCACCAACATGTCATTCTTTCATATTTTCTTACCAGAAAGTACATTACAATGCAGAAGAAATATCCCTGGCTTCATTCTACCTCCTTTGGGCTTAGCAACCCATTGGAACAATGAACCTCCAGTTTTCTTAATACTGAGCAGTTGCACACAAAATGAAAAATAGCATAACTTGAGCCCAATTCCATGTTATTAGTTTTTAATTGATGT